CCCCCCCCCCAAAGTACTCATGATCCAGGCAGAAATGGGAACAGCAAGAGGGAGGCTGGGGAGGAATGTGGGCCTAGATCAGACACAAGCTAGAGCACCAGCTTGAGAACTCCTGAGCTCACCCCCACAGTCCTTCCCAGGGGGCCCAGGAGTTCAGGCAGGCATGTGGGTACGCCCACACACACACACGCGTGCACGCACACATGCATACAAGCAGACGCCGAACCATGGGGACCTGGGACATACACGTGTGGCCACACACATGCTCCCAGACCCACACTGGACACAGACTCTGATCCAGGGGATCCTTTCCCCAAGCTGGAAGCCACCGTGGAGGGCTGGGTCCCTAGCAGCTACAGAGGTCAAAAGTAGCACCCTGGTCTGCACCCTCCCAGCCCAACGTCCCTGCCGCACAGAGCAGATGGGAGTAGACAGGAGGGGCTGCTACCCCAGTCTTGCTAGAAGTGCCAACTCACTAATGCCAATAATAGCGATTCCTCCAATTCTCCCTCCCACTGTGCCCACGACCCTCACCCCGAATGCTCTAATCTGTGAGGCTGAAAGACCACAACCTCTCCAAACTCACCAGCTGCCAGGCCCTCGTCCCCTCCCACTCCCCCATCCCACTCCAAGAAGAAATGAGAGAGAAGTGAGGGTCCGGCTGGGGAAGAGGCTCCTTGTGACAGAACCTGTCCTCGGAAGAAGAGTGTAGTGCACTCAGGAGCTCAGGGTCCTGGGAACAGCCTCAGTCCAACAGATCCCCAGGCATCCTGCAGTGTAGTAAGAGAGGAAGGAGCCCAGAGCCGGGACTCTGGACACCTCGGGTGCAGTTCTGCCACAGACCAGCCGGATGACCTTGGGCTTGTCGCCACCTACTGAGAGCTCTGCTGTAAGATGGAACCCACGACCCTTGCTCTGCCCACCTTCGAGGGATGAGATCACAGATAACACAGAGCTGGGAAAAGCAGAAAGCACCCCATGATTGCAGGGGCGTGTGAATTACCTTAGTAGAGGGCAAAGGCAGGCCTGTGGGAGGGCTTGTCCTAGCGCCTACGGAAAAGGGGCTGGGAGGTTCTCAGGAAGGAAGAACAGACCTCAGGCTGCCCGCCGGGATGTGCTGGCTATTTGGTCCAGCTTGGCCTCCCCCAGTCCTCCTGGTCTTTCTGGCAACTGAGAAGCTGGCTGCCCCCAGCCTTTCCCAGCCTCCCTCCCAACCAGGTGCCAGGTAACCACTCCACTTCCGCTAGTGAAATGGCATCACGTAGAGCAGGTTGAGGATGAGCCCAGAGGGCGATGCCAGGCAGATGCCCCGAGATGGCTGGCCAGGACCCCCCTACCCTGCCCCCACTTGTGCAGCACGGTGAACAATAGCCAGGAGCTCTAGGGCAACCGGGTCGGGACACCTGGCTCCTTCTGGCTCCAGGGCCGGCTTTAAATAGCGCAATTATCATCTCAGCCTAACAGAAGCCTCTTCAACTCCTGCACAATTTCTAAGTAACACTCACAGGTCCTGATTCAGAGGCGACAGCTACCAGCCCCCAAAGTGAGCATTTGAGGGGCTTTGCCGGTGAGGAGTACGGGCAGGCTGTGACACCGAGGAAGAGGGCTCCAGAGAGAGCAGGCAAGAGTGTGAGTGCAAGTGTGTGAGTGTGTATGGAGGGGTCGGACCCACACCAGGTGTCTGGACTCATAAACACAGAAGAGGCAAATCTGAGGCCTCTCTGGCTTTCCAAGAGTCACCCCCCCCCCCCCCATCTCTTCCCAACAAACAGAAGGGCTGTGCACTTGACTTGGGTCTGATGCTCTGGCTAGACACACACACACACACACACACACACACACACACACACACACACACGGGCCGGCTCCCTACTGCCCTACCAGATGGCAGGCCCCACCATGGTGAGGGAGCTCATCGAGGGCAAAGCTGGTGGCCCTGTAGAGGCCAAAGGGTTAGGGCAAAGCTGGCTGGAGCTGTGCCCAAATGTGAGTGGGCCACGAGCTTGGCCAAGAGGGGGCCTCAGGGTGAAGCCGCTCAGAGCAAGGAGGCAAAAGAGGAGGGCCGTGCTCCCTTCCTTCCCATACTCCCACTCAACTGGAGGAAGGGGAGGGAGGTGGTCCTCTAGGAAAATAATACTGATTATGATAGCAGCTCTGATGTATTCGATACCAGGCACTGGGCTGTCGGTTAACATCTATTAACTTGCTTCCATCCTCACAATTCCTCACGAGGAAGACCCAATTCTTCCAATTCTTCCCAGTGAGAACTGGGTCTCAGAGTCATGTAACGAAGTCTACGCAGCTGGGAAGAGGAAGAACTAGGATTCGATCCCGGTCTGTCTGACTCCAAGGAGGAGGGGAAGGCAGTTGAGAAAGGGAAGACAGGCCATGACTCCTTTGCCATTTCTCGCTCTTGTCCAGGGACAAGGCAGCCTAGGGACATATCGTCTTGGCTTCCCCCACCCCCGTGCCCCCTGGGGAAGGCCTCTGCACAGCAGCCACCATGGTCACTTGCCCATTGGAAGTGACTCATTTCCAAGGCCTCATCCGCCACCCACCTGAAGCCCTCCCCCGACCCCAGATGCCCTAAGGACTCCAAACGGAGCTGTCAACAGTCCCCTGAGCCCCGCACCCCACACCACACTCCCGCAAGAACTACAGAAACAGCCCTCAGCTCCCCTCACCCTGCAGGGTTTTCAGATACAATCCTCTGAATGAAGTCCAGCTGCCCACCTCTCCTTCCCTCTAACCCAGAAGTTTCTCCTCCTCCCTCCTCCCTCTCCCTGTTCAGCCCACCACCCCAAAAAGCCTCACCCTCATTCTTCCTCTCCCCCAAGAGCCCAGTGAGTCTCCTCCCCTGCTACTCCCTACCCTGGGGTCATGCTCCCAGACCCACCAGCTGGGTCAGCTGATGTCAGCTTCTAGCATCTCACCCAGCCTGCCTCAGTGGCCCCTTCCATGTCAGTCTAAGGCACTTCCGCTCACCCTTCCAAGCCCATCTCAAACACTGTTTCCTCCATGGAGCCCTTTCTGATTCTCCTACAGGTAAGACTGGCCCTTCGACGGACCCGACACGGCCCTTTCTTTATACCTATCTCCGTGACACATCATCGCACCTGAATACTCTGGGGTGAGAACCATTTCCTACTTGTCTTTGGATGCTCCAGCCAGAGGCCTAACATACATGGAACTGAACAGATACGTGTGGCAGAGTCATTTCTGGGCAGACCATCGCTGACCAAGTTCAAAGAAGAGGAATTCCAAAAGAGTGAACACTGGCCCAAGGCCTGGGAGCAGGTTCCTTTCTCTTGCCCTCTGAAAAGTAAAGCTTCTTGAGAGCAAGACAGGCACCCCTCCTCCCTTGCAAGACTCTGGAGCAGGCTGATGGGCCTGATTGCCGGCTCCCCCACTGACCACACATGCGACTCTGGAAAGAGACTTCATCTGTCTGAGCCTCGGTTCCTCATCTGTGAAGTGGGGAGGATAGCCAGGCCCTCCTCGGACAGCCGGACAGCCGATATGTAGATCAC